TTTCAGATCATTTTTTGCTTTACACCACTTACCAACATCAGTGTCGCTAGGAACCGGGAAGTGGTCGACAGTACTCACCACCTCTGCTGAAGTGTGGAACTAACTACAGTAAGGCATCACGGTGAAAGCGTCACCACTCAACCAATTTATCGGTACCAAGCTGCTCGAATTTCCGTATATACCATATAGTGTGACCATCATCCACAGGCGTTGGCTTAACTTTGAGCTTGGTGAACCCACACGTCACGGCTTTTCATTAGAACTTTCGGATATTTGGAATGCATGAATGCACGAAAAAACGAAAGGCAATACAACATGCTGATTGGCATGGATGCCCAACTGTATGCCTTCAGCTTAATCATTCTTTCAAAACTTCGAACGTCAGGATCTCAGCTGAATCTCGCTGAACCCTGGACAGTTGTTTTTGTAGAGGCATTTACCGTTACAACTTCTTATAGGTGTAGTTGCACCATGCATATCTCTTGCCACCACCATATGAAACTCTACCTCAGTCTTTCCGCCAGTCCTAAGTGGTAGGCAACCACGTTGTGTGTTCGCCGAAATTAGCCGGTGATGGCCACCAGCTTTGTGTTTGCTGAAGGCGCTTTTTGTGGGATATCTCATAGGTGTAGACAAAGTCCTTCAACGTTTCCAACTAGATGGTCGTGCTCACCTTTTAGTGTGTGTCTGAGTGCATTTTCAGCACGACTCCGTGATCTCCTGCAGAAGAATCCACAAGGCGGTCTTGAAAACCTCACTGTAGTTAGCTGCCTCTTTAGACCGCAGCCTCTGCCATCGTCAGTAGGGATGAGTTCTCGTCACTATTAGTTAATTTGTGACAACACTTTCAGACATCCTACTGGCCATGTTAGCTCACTTGTCAATGGCTCATCACAAGCTCCAAACGCCAACACCTGCCCCTCGCCCCGAGTCGTTCGTCCAAAAGAAGGCTGATGGACAAATTCGGTACCAGCTTCCTCATCCTACAGCACTATTCTAATGTGTTTTTAGCCAGGAATCTCCCATGTCACCAAAACATCCTGAACAACTGGTCGGCGGCTTACTTGCCCGAAAGTGAAGTGATTTTTGTCCTCTTTCCATTGCAAGACATACTATGGAGCTATCGGCTCGGACTTCACCAAAGTTCCCCGCATCTGTTGTGGTAGGCTAAGAGAAGTGGGACTCAGACATTGCATTTTGAAGATATGTGGTAGACCAAGGAACAGTGCAAACCACAAAAAGTAGTTAGTAACTTTCAAGCAAGTTACACGAGTGCTTGCGACATCCACAGCTTGAGTATCTCGATGATCCTGACTCCATCTGCTTGCAGACCTCGGAAGTGGTTTTGAAAATTGCCATAAAAGTGATATTATTGGTGAGGATAAAACAAAAATACATTGCAGCTGCCAGAATCCAATAATCTTGGCCTGAACGCGGGAAATAATTAGGCGGTGCCAACTGACGTGAATCTGATTAGTTCCTGCCTTCTACTGTATAGCTTCCTAACTTCCGCGAGTGACACACAGTCAAAGGTTGGATCAAACTATCAAAACACGGTTTGTAGTAATATAATAGTAGATTTGTAACAAAATCTGTAGTACTATCAAAGCAACAATAAGTTATATCAAAGTTACAAAAAATATCTCAACAGTGCCGTTGGGTAACTATACAGTCCAAAACGTTCTCGGGTGCAAACACGTACTACACGGTAAAAACTGGTTAAACAAATACAACTGTTAAATACCTGTCGATCAATAAGAATATTCCCGACAAAAGGGATCAAACCTCTGCCTACAGGAATCAAATCAACAAACAAACTTCCCCAGTAGACACCCAAAAGACAAGCAGTCAAATCACAGCACATCCGTAGGTTGAAACAAAACAAAATGTCGTGCGCAGTAAAACAACATCACCTTATCAACAGTCCAGCGTCACATAATAGGAAAGTGAAACATTCATAATAAGTCTCAAAAATACAGAGGCAAATACCGAGTGCAAAGTCAACTAAGGCGGTCAAAAAAGCAAATAACATTACACTTGCTAGGGTCAAAGGTACACCATCCATAACGAGGGTAAAAATACTGAAATAAATGTCAATATAATCAAATAAGGGTGATCGGGAGGGATTTTCAGATCAGTTTTCCGTTGGACACATCGTCAGGCTAAATTTCATCAGCATGTTGTAAACATATTTGACCAAATTGTGTGGAGGCAACGTGGCTCATATGATGACGGCAGAACGTCTAAAGGATTCATTGGAAACGCTACAGAAGGAATAGTCTGGACAGGGCCTCAACGCTGTATCGAAATGAGAAACGGCCCGAGTAACCTGTGTGCAATTTCAATCGTCTCGACCCATGCTATTGCACACCAGACGATGTGACGTGCTTGAATTCGACAGGGTCAGGTCATCAAGATGCACTAGATGATTTAGAAATGTGAGCTAGCAATGAAGTTAAGTTCAATAAGCGCAAAGGAGAAATATACGAGTTGACAATCTGACGATTAGACAAACAAATGATTAGCTGCAAACTGAACGTGGATCGCAGCAGCGAATATCAAGGCAATCTGTGCTGTAAGGACTTTCACATCCAGGCGTAAAACACCTACATACAGAGTTCAATTATAAAGGCAGGCGACAGACTTTAGATCTTGGTAGCGAAATAGTCATTTCCTCCAAGCTCGCAGTGAGGCCATTCATTCTGTTGCGAAGACATCGAGAAGTGAAATGAGGACGAAATGATTCAGATTGTCACTTGCACTTAACTGAGTTAACTTCGGAAATACTTATTTTCCTTCAAGAAATGTACCAAGGTAAACAGAGTACGGTCACAGTGGAGACCACCGACGTCAGAGGTATCCTAAGGAGCAGTCTTGGAACCACTTATGCCCATCCTTCTCTTCGCTAAGGGCATTGAAATATGGAGGGTAGTAAGCGAAGAGCACTGCAAAATGGCCCACAGTAACTTGAACTCCGGTCACCGGAAGATCGTTTGAGCTTCAACCTGTAAAAGCGCGAAAATAATGAACATCAGTATCTATGATGCAAGGACGGCCGACTTTCAATATATGTTCAGCAACCGTGGCATCATCAGAGTATCCACGGGAAGAGATCTGGGGCCCAGCTTCCCCAACACACTGAACACTAGCTCCAACTACAAGGACATAGCAGCCAGACAGAAACACCACTCTACACTTTCTACGTACACATCCAGGTGCCCTCATCCTTGAACTATTTCTCACAGTTTTCAAATCGTACGCACGACTGGGCCTAAAAGTCTTCAGTTCGGTTGCACCATCACACCCAGGAGAGACTCTAGCCTCCCTTAAAAATACAAGGGTCTGCGACAAAACCAGCTTCGGGACTTGGGAGGAAGGCATGCTCTGAAAGACTGGAACGCCTAAACCTATTCACCTTGAGGTATCGTATGCGAGATCGTCCATCAGGCAAACCACACAAGCAAACTAGCCTTGCCCGAAACACAGTGGTTATCACTAGGAGACCCCACCAGGACACCACATCAGAGAGCTGCCACCACGCTCAGGTTCAACTTTTTCTCCTTGAGAGTATGTGCATTAGCGAATGTCCTACGGCGGACTGTAGTCACAGGCCCCTCAATAGACTCATTCAAAATACGGTTAGACGGTCATGTCATTTCGCATGACACCACATAAGTACTCAGGGAGTTACCAGCTTCACTAGCTTGCCAACACTTTCCTTCTACTTATCACTCGCTACCTATCTTGTTGATGTATCTACATAGTCTACTAACTAGTCTCTAGCAACTAGACCCATGCACTCTACTTTAGCCTTTCAGATTATTCCTACATAATTTTCTCATTGTCTTGCAGTTCATACTCAGGCACCTGCACAATCAGGAGTCACGACGGACCCTTAATCTTTCTAGCAAGCCTCAACTCCCTAATCACTCTACAAAACGCAAGTTACTCCTCGTGGTAACCCAGGAAGAATCGCCCACCAAAGAGCGAAGACCAGTGTGCGATCACACTTCTCCTCTCTGTGAGTTTGCGGCCACTGGAACACAATGCCTGCAGAGATTGTTACTGCTCCTTCTGTTGACAGCTTCAAGAAGAGGTTGGACAGTTACGCAGCGACTCACGGTTTGCGCTCATCCAACTGGGGTGTGAACTAGGCTAACTCGATACGACCAACCGTTACTGAACACTTTGTAAACCACCATCACTTGGCTCAACCTTATACCTTCCTGTAGACGTCCCCTCCAGTTACCGACTCCTACTAAAAGAATTACTACACTCCCATTCGTCCTATCATGTTATTTACTATTCTTCCTTCTGACCTTACGCTCTCAAACTTTAACAAAAACTCTCCCTATCACCTATTCCCTGCGAAACTACAAATGTTTTATTCTTCCTTGCCGTTTCCTTTTTCCTAATCTTTTTTTATGTATTATTCTTCCTTTTTTCCCTCTTCTTTTTCTATTTTGTCCCTCTCAGCACTTTCTCTCCCTTGATTTCTCTGGACATATTTTTCGTCTCCTTTTTACAACCAGTCCGAACAATTGTCTGCTGGCACGACATATGAGGAACCCATATGCACCACAGTTCCCAGAAGAAAAAGCAAACACACAAACAACACTCCCTACAAATCTAAACAACACCCAACCGCCCGTCAGGCTAACCGGAGCTACAGCAGTCGAGTGGGTAGACCTACTGCATTGGAATCCACCAAAGACCTGGAACCGTTCCGCAAGACCTATAAGCGAGCGTGAAGAAATCAATTGGTCAACACTAGCTCGTTAAAAGATATTGGATATTGGAAAGTATTCACGTCACTGGATCTAAGGCAAGAAAGCGGAGGAGGTTTCTTAGTCCACTGCAGGAGTAAACCGAACAACTCAAACCAAGCCCTATAACTGAAAGCAAGAGATCGGAAACTATTATTTTTCTATCCCCGCACTAAGAGTGTTGGATATTGAAAGATCATGTTGTTTTTGTGAGCCATATACATGGGCGCTAACAATTCGCGTATGGATTTGTTTGCAGGAGCACCGTTAGCACCTTTCGAGGTTGATTCCGTATATGATGATCTTGATGGCTCTGAATCATCCTCATTGGTAGCTGACGCGAGTAATCAAATAAAAAAAGTCCTATCGATTCCATTTGAGGGCAGCTTCTTCTCTTTGAGGACTCGCTCACTGACCTTGTAGGAAATTTCGATGAGAAAATATACCATTGTTTTGAAAACTTTGATTTTGATCCTGAAAATAATCAATCACTTAGTGTGTCAACGAATGTTGCAACTTTGAATGAGGTCAAGTAGGTGTGTTGTGCCATATAAACATGTTAGACAATGGTGGGCAGCAGCTACTACGGAGCTTGTACCCAGTGAATCCTACCCGCTTCAGAACTTACCAACTAATATCAATTCATATGACCTGGTGAGTTTGTCTTTTGGTTTTTAAATTTCGTAAGTGGACGCCTCGGCGTCAACTTGTCTTATATGCCAGGCAAAAATCAACAAAATTTGGTACACAAATGTACCTGGTTTTCACTCTACTGTAGCATACAAGACAAAGTTAATACAATGAGATTAAGGTAAACTATGATTTTGGGAAAGGGCAAACATACATGATTGGAATATGGTGTGTATGCTCATTGTTTTCAGGAATGAGGATAGGTCATGTGACCTATGTGAACAAAAGTGATTTTCGATATCTAGGCCAAGTTTCGTTTTTAAAGTATCTATGAAAAGCAGTGGAAATATGTACCTCAGTAGGAGGTGACTTGAGATCTCGACTGATCCTAAGGTGTCTTTGAGTTTGAAGTAAAGCCTCGCGAAGAAACATCATCATCATTATCAACATAGGACCAGGCATTACTGCGTAACGGTCCGAGTTGCCACACCTCATATCAGCACATCAAGTAAAAAGGTAGTGAGGTGAAGGATGAAGATAAGTGAATGCAGTCAAAAGAAATATAAAGTACGAGAAGAAAGGAAAGAGGAGTGACAAAATAGTGAGATTCGGTATAGCGTTGTTAAGATGAGGATAATGTGTGTATACATCTGCGCCACTGACTTCGGTTCTGAGCCATATCACCTAGGGTCTCCAACCACTGGTTCCTCTTGTCCCGTGGACCCCAACCACCTAGTCTGCATCGTCCTACATGGCTTAAACCAACAGTCAGAGACTTCATACATTGGTGCCATGTTTTAGTCTGGCCACCTCGGGCCTTTTTCCAGCCTGAACCCACCTCAGCCAACATTGTGTGACGAGGCAATCGGTGACTAGGCATACGTAGTACGTGTCCCAACCATCTCAGTCGATGAAGGTTCACAACCTCGTCGACTGACTTACCTCTTCTCCCTAAAACTCTACACCTAACTTCTGCATTACTCACATGGTGACACCACGGAATACGTCCTATACTACGAAGGCAACGGTGGTCAAATACCTGTAACCTTCTCATGTCTTCCACTTTCAATGGCCATGTTTCACAGCCATACAGTAGAACAGAGCGGACTGCTGTGCAGTACACGCGACCCTTAATAGACAAACGAATATCACGGTGGCGCAAATTGGCAAAAGCCAATCGAGCCTTTTGTATCCGTGCAGAAATCTCATCGGCAACTAACCCACCGGAGTTGATCCTACTTCCCAGGTAAGTGAAGTGGTCAACACACTCAACCACTTCACTCTCTATTGTTAACCGCGGTACCGCTGAAGACCAGTCCTGGAGCAAAAATTTGCATTTGGGTGGTGAAAATCGCATCCCAAACATTCTCAAATTCCCACTCAAAGTGTTCAGAAGACTCTGCATCTTGTCAGCGTCTTCACCTAACAGGACTATGTCATCTGCATATTCTAGATCTAAGGAAAATTCACCTGTGGTCCGGTCAACGTCTTTGTAATTAGGTGACGAGAGGGAAACCTCCATAAGAATATCTATGATAAAATTAAATAAGAATGGGGATAGTGGGCATCCTTGACGGACACCACTTGATGAGTATAGCTCCCTGGACAACTCACCATAGGCTCTAACATGCCCACAAGTGTTCGAGTAGAGAGCTTTCAATAAGGTGATGTACTTACTAGGCACGCCTTTCAGTGACAGACACTGCCATAAGACTTCTCGATCAACGGAGTCAAATGCCGCCTTCAGGTCGAGAAATACAGCTATTGTCGGGCGTCTGTAAGCATGCCTATGTTCCAGGACCTGGCGCAGTGTGAATATTTGGTCGATACATCCACGGCCAGGTCTAAAGCCTGCCTGGTTTTCTCGGGCTTGCTGTTCCCGAGCTCCACTCAGGCGTCGGAGAATTATAGAACTTAGGATCTTAGACACTATGTTTGTCAGGCTGATTCCTCTGTGGTTATCACAAGAGGACTTCTCGCCTTTCTTGAAGACTGGGATGATCAGTGACTTAGACCAGTCGGAGGGGATCGTATTTGATTCCCATATACTGGCTAACACTTCCGTTAGCCTGACTAAGAGAACTCTACCACCATTCTTGTATACCTCAGCAGGTAGTCCGTCTGGTCCTGCTGCCCTTCCCCGTTTCAGGCTACCTACCGCTTTCTCGACTTCTTCTAGTGTTGGGGGACCTGTCTCTATGTCCCATTCAGGGTCCGACTGGATAGCGGGCAGCGCAATGGTGGCTGGAGGCCAGTTAAACTGTTCCTCAAAGTGTTCTGCCCATCGTCCCAGTCGCCTTCCCTGCGAGTGAATCGCCGATCCGTCCTTCTCCGCTATAACCTCACTAACTGTTGTTGACCATTTCCCCCCAGTCTCCTTAATAAGTCTAAATAACTGTCTACTGTTACCGATCGCCGCTGCCTTTTCCATCTCTTTAGCCTTTGCTGCCCACCACTGTTCACGATCGTTGCGCAGACTTTTCGTCAGTTTATGTATGTATAGAATACCCTTCGGGCATCTTATTTCTTATCCTTTGACTTTATTTTACTGTATTTGTCTCATATTTCGAGCGTTGACTCAATGCTTAGGTTCAAATGAGGCGTCATTTTCAGTTTTCAGTGATAAAAGTAGGTTTAGCTACCTATGTTAATCCTTGCCGTAGTTTTCCTGTGGAAATGTATGTTCTCTTAGTGTATTTACCAAAGGAGCTGGTTCTGCTTATGGTGATGAGTTCCACTTCTTGGTCAGTGGTTTTACTGTGGCTGTTAGATATTTTGTGATGACTTTTAAAGTGTTCAGTTCTAGACGGGCTTAGTAAATGTAATTTTTCCGCGCTTAAATCATCATTAAATTTTTAAAATATATGAATTAGTTCGCCTCGTTTTCTGCGAGGGAAACAAGGTTCAATCTTGTTAGTCGCTCTATAAAGTGGAAGATGGGCATAAACTATCACCAACTTACTATGTGTCTTATGATCTATTCCAGCACATCAACTTCCTTTAATAAAGCTTGAATTCGCTTCCTCAGTAAGGTACTCCAGATAGAACCTTACATATATACATAGAGTATATGATCGTAATATATCTTCGAAGCATTTAGCTGCTCTGCAAAGTGACAATACCAAATAGGGTGCTTAAGCTACATAAGTAAGAAATGCTGCTGTCATCTTTGATCTAATCGTCCAACACAGTAAGGTTTACCAAATCCGAGTCAGACTAGTCGACCAGGAGCAGTTACCATTTCCATGCGGAAAAACAAGATCGTTAGATTCTGTTAATTTAAGGAATCTAAAGCTAAGCTCTACTTCAGATACGCATTTACACATTAGTAAAGGACGGTGATAGTCCAAAACACTTTTGGGTTGTAATAGTGACAACCTAGTCTTCGTTTTTCTACTCGCTTCCAAGCAAGTTCAATATAAATGACTCAGAACCTGTTGCAAATATTTGGAAACTTATACTACGGTCCAAAAGAAAGAGTAAAGACTAGAATTGTGAGTTAGCTTAATGCAATAAACCATCCGGAACGTTATGTGGCAAAAGTGGTACTTAACTATCCCATTCATTCATAAACCAATAAAAATCGAATGGCAATCTACCTTAGTGCTCGAGTTCTACTTGAATACTAACAACCAATTGCTGGGACATTCATGGTGCACCCTATTACCTCAACTCTGTCTATATTAACTTCTATAGCTGGTGTAACAGTTCCATTAATGAACAAGCGTATTTAGAACATGTTTTGTTCCATACATAACTATGAATTTCTTTACTAGGACGAACTCATTGGCAACACGATATAAAGATTTAACTTCATCTGTTCAAAATAGTCTTCTGTAAACTCACTCATTCGGGAATGTAGCCCACGGCTAGACTTTCAAGTTATACAGGTAGAGTTCAGAACTCACTTCAACTATTTGAACGGCCAGAAACTTGTAGACACTGAGTAAATGCGACTCAGTTTTGCACCAGCGTGTGCCACGTTATGTTACCACTTGATATACAGAGGTGATTCTGTTTATCCCCTAGTTGGTATGTTAACCTTCCGCGAAATTTTCGACTTCATCAAGTCACATGGCGTCTGTAAGGGTGTCAGGCAGACAAAACCAACGCAAAATCTCTCACGGATACCAGCACTCATTCCAAAAGCGTCGACTTAATCACAATGAGGATCGAATTCAATTTTCACTTCATTTTGCATCAACTTCCTTTGTTTAAAGAACATTGTTAAAGCGACCCTAGATTGCCTAGAAACTCCTTACAACAAAGAGACCAACAGACAAGGTAAAAAAAAGTATCCTCTTTGTAATGCATCAGCTTCACACAGAAACTGTAAATACATATCCAAGTAATCGTGCAACTTTCTGCATCTGATTTTAATAGTTTATTCACCTTGTAATCTTGATTTTATCGGTAATAAAATTGTCCACATCCCTTGCACAGACCCACAGTCATTCCCGTTACATGTGCTGAGTGTTGATTCAGTGAATAAATGTTCAGTTGCCAATCTCTCGCCATCAAACTTAAGTACAGTTGTTTTGTACCACCCAGTTGTATAGCTGCTTGCATGCACTACAGTAGCTGGTATTTTATCAGACCATTGATCTCAGTGGGGTCTGTCATTCTACATTTGGCTACATTCCTATGCTCATATAGTCTAACTGAACCCGACCAGCTGATTTGACCTATGTATTTGTATCTGTCATTGTATGATATTTGGTAGATGCAACTGTTTCGTCGTATTTGGTCAACAGGATTCTTAAGTTGACAAAGTTTGTCTTTGGGTGAGTATGTACATCTTAACACCACCTCAACTGTAGTATTGTTGAGAATTCTACATGAAGTTTCTGCTGTTCCTCCCTAGTGTGTGTGATAACAACAGAAACATTGAAACCCTTTGCACTTGTGTTATCGTTACTATTCATAATAGGACTACTACCTATTTCCCTATAACCTTTAGAATATACTGAATTGTTGATCAGTAGTGTTTCCTTGATGTGCCAATCCTTCAATTAGGCGTTTGATTGACTAGAGTTTTCTAACTCTTTTATTTAAACAGTCCACTGATGATAGGTCTTAGTCTGACCACTCTAAACCCGCTTCCAGTCTAATCCAACTTCCCCTAGCAAGGCACGTCATGGTGTACGGTTGCTCGTTATGCGCCGTACAAGTTCAGACCCTCTCAGTCGTCTAAGCTTCACAACCCCACCAATCAACTTGCTTGTCTTGCCAAGTGCCCATCACCTGACTTCAACATTGTTCACACAGTGTTTATACCAAACCCTAGCGAGGCTACATAGACACATGTGGTCAAACCTCGAAACCGCTTCGACAACTACGTCTGACAGCCGTACAACAGCACAAAACAACCTACAGCGCAGTATGCTCATCTCATGATAGATAGTCGGATATCTCGCCAGATTGCGTCACGTGACGCAAGTTTGCAAAACGTCAGACAGGTCTTCTGTATTCAGAAGTAGGTTAGTTTGACGGTACTACACTTCTGATTCCTTTACACTACGTCTCACTTCCATCAATTTACTCAGCAATTTTGTGCCTTCATCCTTGTAAACTTCAAGATGCAAATTGTCAGGTCCTGCTGTCTTGCATCGTTTCCAACGATGGTTAGTATAGCGATATGATCCATCAGCGTCCATCATTGGTTTGAAGTTTGCTGACGCCATGTGAGACAGTGTCTCTCCTTATGCCTAAAGGTATTGTTGGTTAGAAACAAGTGACTGTCGGAAGAAAATTGCAAGCGACGACCACCGTTGTCGGTTCGTTGGTATGGGATTCCGTAAATACCTCCAGGTTGCCTTTCTGATTGCCTCGGTTTTCCAACTTGACCGTTGAAGCCACATGCCAGTATGACTACCTACATCTGAACGTTTTGCCATCTGTAACAAAGTTGACAGCTTTTCACAGAGTTCATCATTTACATCATCTGAATTACAGTCGGTGGGTGGATAGACGGCGATTACTAATAGGCATCCGTTGATCTCACGATCCTTCCTCGTTCTTACAGATGCATTCAGTTGGACAGTACATGGAAGACTGTTGACTGGTATCCAGTCGAGAAGCGCACTTCCTGCTTTACAACTCAATGGGTTGACGAGAGCTAGCCATTGGGTTTCCGGATACTCGTCAAGTGGATTTTGAAGATTCACTACTATGGCCAGGTGAGGTCAATTTAATAATCGTACTCGGGTCCTGTATACCTGTCTCATAGGCACAGCATACATCCATGGCTAGAGATTCCATAGTTCTGGCGAGCAATGCTTGCTGTTGCATCTGGCATAGAGTTCGGACGTTGGAAGCTCGTACATGAAGTCGATGCCAGGGTCTCGGGAGACTAGGAATGAGGTTTTGATGGCTCCGATTGCTGACAATGTTCGGGAAGTGAGAGGTTAGGTAAGGCGTAATGGGGTTGACATTGGTATTGTGAGGTGAAGGCAACGGATGAGACAGATTTGAGTAGGAATGGTTGTGGTTGATTTGGTTTGTGTACTGAGGAAGCATGCGGGTGGTTGACGCTTCTCGGCTGCTGACACCGTGAAAGGTATTTCTTCTTAAGGTACGTGAAAGAGACAGAGATTTGTGTTACCACATGGCTGATGGTACATCTGCTTGAGGCTTGTCACATACGGTCTTTTGTGGGATATTGCTTTGTAGTTCGGCTTTTCTAACACTTTGATAGACAGAACCCATACCCTGCCCCCGGAAGACCGTGGGGCAGGGTGGAGTGTTTTTTTCGGGGGGGGGGGGGCAACCTTTTCTAACTGTTCCCCACTTCTTATAGGAAAGCCAGCGTTAGCGTCACACTTGGTCATTCAAAGGAAACACCTTACTATTGTCACATCCCATCCAGTTAACAGCAGTATGACTTAGCCTCCAGACTCCCATAATTGTGTAGTACTTACGCTACAACGGTAAGTGCTTTTCGTCTTACGACTATCCAACAGACCTTTCTGGCATGATAGGAACTCGAGAGAACAAACGTTCGACCAGCATAGCTCGTTTGGATCATTCTGATATGGAAGCCCGACCACCTCGTTAATGTAGCAGCTATCGATTGGGTTACCTATGTAACGCTTCACGATTTATCTTATCGTCGTTGGGTGGGGCCATGGTATTTTTCTGTATCGTCCGAAGTTTAGCATATGTACCGTCGAGCGAGAATGATAGACCCTCCTAAGATCAGTGGTCCGAAAAAGTATCAACTGTTGTAATGCATGCAAACAGCTATACAAACTGGGTGGTACAAAACAACTGTACTTAAGTTTGATGGCGAGAGATTGGCAACTGAACATTTATTCACTGAATCAACACTCAGCACATGTAACGGGAATGACTGTGGGTCTGTGCAAGAGATGTGGACAATTTTATTACCGATAAAATCAAGATTACAAAGTGAAAAAAACTACTTAAATCAGGCATCGAAATTTGTGGATATACTTGGTTATTTCTTGCAGCAGTAGTTTGTGCTGATTAAACGTTTTGCAGTTGATAATGCTGTATGTTGGTTTTCAGCGATCCTAAATATGTATGGTTGTGTTTGAGCATTGTATTAAGCCTAAGGACTTACCGTCTCGTCAGTCGCTCATATAAGGGAAGCTCTTGTTTGGGTTGTTGAATGCAGGTTTCTGCCCTGCTTGAACATTGTTGAGCTTTCATGTGGTTTGTCTGCATGTTTTGTGATGAAATGTTTCTCTTTTTCGGTCTGGTAGACAAAGGATTTAGCTTATTATTTCCAACTGATATATCTGTGAAGCCTAGTTGAATCCCTGATTTATTTATGCTGCATCTCTATGCCCTTAATAAAATTATAGATCTTTGTTCAATTATTCTCCATTTTGCTTTTTGTCCTGTGGTCTTTCGTAACTGGTGATACTAATTTCATTTTAATGTGGCTTTATCGGTCAAGGTAGTTGACTTTAAACGTAATGAGCTGTGAATTTGAATCTCGCGTGGTCCATCTTTGTCTGGCCAACCAAAAAGTATTGCCATTTGTCATTTGGTACGCGTGTTGTTCTACTTAGTTCAGCAATTTACGTGTGCTTGTTACTTTGTATTGCGATTCACTATCTCTCCTCTTGATTTTCACCTCAATTCGCTAATGGCAAATGTAAAAACCCAAAAATGCCGGTTCGTATAATCGATTTTGTCGTTAGGAGGCACCCTCGAAGACTGGAATGTGAGTTAGCTGTAAACCTGACACTACTACTTAGAATTTACTTACTGTTATTGTTTGCTACTTTATATTTTGGAACTTCTATCTGACAGATTTTGAGGATTAGAAGCTATACCGCATTTTTGTACTTAGAAATAGTTATTTGCTCACGAAGCACCCTCCGAACGATAACATTATTGAATTGGGTTTTAGATAATTCCGTTTTTTCAGGGAGTGATGTTTTTCGTAATGTTGAACACTTTTCTCCCATAGAACCAGTTCGAACTTGCAGATGCTGACGGAATAACAGAAGATGAAATCATCAAAACGAGTTTAATACAAAAAAATAATGTGAGTTTACTGGTGACAATGTAGTTTATTTTCTCGTTATAAAGATTTTGGCACTCGCCAATCAAAACTCGTTAATTACGAGCAAGACTGGTTGGAAAGTGTACAGGAGATGTTAATGTGTGGTGTAATATCGTACAGCGAAAGATAGTCATGTTACAACAGCTTTCGTTGGTACATCAAACCATAAACAAATTTTCTATCAGATGGTAACTGATGAAGCTCTTATCTCCCCAAGGCTTGTCATCGACTAAAGTCTATTTATTAAGTTTTCTATTCGGCCACCAAGCAAAGTGATGCAAAATTGGGCACTGTACTTTGGTGCTAATTTTTTTTGTGACTTCCTGCTAATACACTCTGGAATTCTAATGCATCACGGCTTCAGAAATATCCATGACTAAATAAAGCGAATTAGATCCCAGACTTTTAGTCAACATTTCTTTGTCATTGACTATTGTATCAAATGGAATATATGTCGTATTTCTCAAAATATGCTCGTCTGCTTATCGACTAAAACTTGATTACATATATCCGTAAAATGGAATTACACGCTGTTGTATTCTCAGGTCTCTCATACGACTACTTCTTTCCCAAACTATATCCAGCATAGGTTATCGTTATAGTAACTTGCTTAGTGCAATCCAACCAGTAAATTTCTTCCATTCATTTCAACTCAGACATCTGAACCTCAGGATCGCCATCTATGTGATTAAGTTTGATGCAGGTTGTTTTGCTAAGTTACCTGCAGCCAGACTGAAAATAGATAGGCTGACTACTGCTTAGCGGTCGTCAAAGTTTAACTGCATTATTATTTGGTCAACCGTCATTGGTTGAAATTTATTTGTAACCGATAAAAGTAATGTGTTCTATTTCGAGGTGTTTGTAAGGTTGTTCTTAGAGCAAACAAAAATGTGGTAAATCCCTTTTTACTCAGTTCTTTGGTGATTCGCTGGGTACTTGTCGCTATTTTCACTTTAATGTGCCGTCATTCTGTCGCTGGATGCAGTCATCAGTAGGATCGAGAAAAGAGTGTTTTTTACGTGATATTTCAGAACACTTGTGCGTATGCACTTAACCTGGTTGCACAAATTAGCGAGAAATATGAGTTTATGAATTTTATCGAGTTCTGTGTTTATTTAGTCAAGTGAGCTCAGGTAATGCTTTTAACGCATTCTCAAGACATCGTAACACTAAAATTGACATCACATTTTCAAGTACGAGACAGACGAAATTGACATAGAACCTCACAAAAGTTCATCAGTTCAAGTTGCTACTCTTCACAGTAGCATTCAAAGAACAAATAGACAGAGAGGTGTAGAGAAAAGTATATAAGTAAATAAGCAATTTAAAGATATAGGTTAATGCAAATACTCAAGCTTAAGAAGATGTCAAAGAGTGAACACATATGTGCGGTTGTGATCGATTCCCAGCCATTTCATGAAGAGTCCTCAACTTTTGATTCCTGTTGTCTTGAGAACCTCAACCAGGTAGGTAGTCTACTCCTCCCTACATGACAGACCAAAAGTTAAACTTCATGCACTGAAACCACGTCTTGGTCTGGCCACTTTGAGTCTTCTCCTAACATTGCACGTCGAGGTTAGTGGTGTCTTGGCATGCACAGTACACGCCCAAGCCACCTCAGTCAGTGAAGGTTCACAGACTCATCGACCAACTTTCCTTCCGTGTCTAGTACCTTTCATCTAACTCCTACATAATTCAAACATCGATCCCACCACACGCAAGCAATGTTACGAAGACACTTGTGATCACATACCCGAAGTCTTTTATCTATTTACAGCGGGCATGTCTCAGTCATATAACAGGACGGAAAAGATTGCAACACTAGTATTCTCTTACTTTGGTCGGTAAGTGGTCAACATGTTCATCCACTTTACTCCCGATTCATAAACCGGAAATCGTTGCAGACAAATCCTGAAGCATCATCATTATTTTACACTTGGAAAGTGTGAAACGTATAAAAAACACTCGGATATCTGCTCAATGCGTCCACAAGACCTTGCATTTAGTCAGCGTCTTCACCTAGAGCACAATGTCGTATGTGTACTCCAAGTCAACCACATGCCTTCCAGGAGTTAGAGCAATCCCCTGGATGCTGGGCAACTGATACGTTGCTATGGGCCAGTTGAACCATACTTAAGTGTTCCACCTAAGGTTATAGCCGTCTGTCCTGAGAGGTTATCAGGGTCTCATCATTTCTAGTGATGGTCTCATTAACCGTCATTCTCTCCTTGCCAGTATCCTTAATAAGCCTAAATGGTTGTTGGGTATTTCCTAATGCTGATGCTCCCTCCATTTCTCTCGCTTTCGCCACCTTACACTACTTACGGTCATGCAAAGACCCTTCGTTAATTTTACGTTTCAGTTGCTGTATGTACAATGCTGACTGACATGCTCACTGCTGTTGGTCATGATTTGTTTACACTTACTTATGTCGGTCAATCACCGGTGATCTATTAGTCTAGTTTAAGTAATGGAATTTACGCAAAGTAGTTTAAGGTAATCAGTTCTCTAAAGTTAGACACCAGCACATAATCTGAATTTCGATAAGATCCCTCTTTTTTTCTCAGGTTGTGCATTATTCAAATGAATCTGTTTGCTCTGCTCGAGGTACTGTTACAACTTTATCCTTATCGTCCATATCAGTAAGTCCTCGTTCACTGACACTGGATCGAGTTTCTCTAACTGAATGCTCCCAAACTCCGGTTGTTGCATATTCAAGCACTGATAACAAAGCTAACGGTATTTGTTTCGATGGGGTTGACAATGACCAAAGTGTTCTTGAAATGTTTCAGTCTCATCATCCTTCTCTTCCTTTAAAAAAAACTCAAAGTTGGATTGATGGTAAGCATTTAATTTCTGTGAATAAATGGTACTAGATTGACGTTATATGACTGTCTTTGATGTTTTTGGTTAGAATAAAACTGTATTCCAATAAAGCATCTTCATGATGTTGCCTATTTCTTCGTTGTTGTTCAGTGAATGTGTACCTAGACTAGACCGTAACGGATGTCGAATATTTTGTTTTTTCATGATAAACGAATTAGGTCGGGGGAAAACTGTTTAAAGCTTATCTAGGTTATGCGAAGTTGTCGTAACCTTTATGGCTACATCTGTTGAATTTCTTTATAAGTTTTCATACTTAACCTTAATTTATTTCTTCAGATCTTCAGAATTTGCAAGTCAGCGTCTTACGACTTTATGTTCAACAAATGAGTAGTGAGATTATGCAACTTTCAGATTGTTTGGTTGATTCTTTGGCGGAACGAGATGAACTATCAATGCTACGAGAAGCTAGCGATGACTTCATTGTACTGCTTAGTTTGGTGCACGAGCGGAAAAGTCGAGCATCCAAAGCAGCTCTCTTAGCCACAGCTAAAAATCTTATCCGTTCAAAAGTGAGGACTTTTGTGTTGTGATTTTGCTTACTTGTGTTTGTTCATTTTTGACAATTTTGTATTCACGTTTCTACTTTTTTGAATGGTGTTTAGGTATAAAAGTTGTTTCTATGATTTCTGTTCAAACATATGTGTAGACATACGGCTATGTTTTTGTATATGGTCTTATGCACACAAATATTGGGTTATTCCTTATCAAGTGAATACTTCTGTATTAAAAAATGAATATTTACTTATGACTTAATTGATTGACTTAAAACACTCAGTTAGCGATAGTTTCATGACATCAACTGAATGTTTATTTCAATACGGAACTGTTTATCTGACTGTTATATTAGTTACAGGTGAAATAAGCTCTGCTCATGTACTAAAGATGCATGAGACTAACTATAGTCCATCTAGCAATCAAGTTTTATACATAGTGAATGGGTTAGACTATATTTCTGTCCTTTTATTTGGTGTCTTTGAAATGCTTTGCTGGTAAAGTGAAAAGAGCAAATGATTCAACATGTTGATAGACCAGTTAATAAAAATAATTGACGTAACTAGTAATCATCATCATCACAAGAAATAATACAACTGCAGCCAATCAAGAAGGAGGAGAAGACAATAAAGGATGTATCATCCCTACAATCGTCCTGGGAAGCCAATGTAAAAATACCTTTCTTCCTTATCGATTACTTGCTAATCAGACAAAATATAATCCCATGACACACGAATATTAAGTACACCTAAGTTTGATTAAAAATCTTAGTTCTAAACCTAGGTAAGGTGATTGACAAGCCCTCTTTCAATTCTAATTGGTAGCATTTAAACTGGACAAATACCTGATAAGTCTGCAAATCTATGGTGAATATAGTTATAAATATGACTTCTCGTCATAGATGGTGTATGTGAGTCGGCATCACAGTTTAACTTACTTTTTGTTTCGCTGTCTAATGAAACATCATATCAGTATCCAAATATTGAAAACCGGTAATAGGTTTTCTGTTCACTGTCTTTTATCAACATTTACCTGCAGCCTCAAAAAATTCTATTTTATTTGATGTTCGAACAGCTGTTACCGGCGTCCTAGGTTGAAATATGTTGGCTCTGAACGCCATAGTCATTACCTTAGTGCCCAGATTTGTATCAACTGATTTCTTAAAATTTGTTCATCAACAATCTGATGATGACTGGTTGCAACCTATCACTTCATTAATACGAGTAAAGTTTTAAATATGTTTACTTAACGTGTGTTCAAACTAGGTATTATCAATTTTAGGCAAGATAATTTTCTCCTTGATCGGAATAGGGGTATGTTGTTCTCAAATGAAGTAAATGTTAAAATGCACGTATTACAACTCACACATTGTTGTCGGTTTTACTAACTAGTTTAAAAATGCCCTCGTTGAATGCAAGTGCTGTGGCTCATTGTCTTAGGAGCTCAACTTTCGAGCTGTGGATCCTGAGTTGTTCCCCACTCCACTCATTTCGTCTTTGATAACCTGGTAGTATTATGAACCTAATAGATGTAACTCTTAACCCAGTGCATAAACTATATGTGCCAAGTTAGATTAGAATACGGTTATGACTGTATTGCCGATAAAACCTCACTTACTTATCTTTGGCAAATACATAGATATACTGAGATATTATTTTAGTACTGTGAGTCTTCATGAAAGACTCGTCTTTGTCAATTGGTGTTGAAGTAAGCCTGGTTTAAGGAACCATTCTGTTGAACACGTTCATATAGATCAAAGCGTAGCTGTTAACTACAAACTTGTAGCTTAAAAACAGAAACAGTTGAGTTTCAGAATCACATTTTTACTCTCCACTGACTCCAAACAAGTAAGTATGAATTGATTTTGTCGAGCGACAGTTAATATGTAGCGAAAATTGAACGTTGTGCAGAGCACATTACCCATTTTGTCTCTTCTACCTGGTATAACGTTAGTTACGCTGAAATTTCTTGGACATGATTTTTAGATGTTCATAAAACTGACTACACTTGTAGTTACATATATCACTCAGCTTCATAGTAATTACATATGGCCTGCACTTTTTATAAGTATACTTCTAGGTTTCAAATGAAAAACCAGAAATCTAAAAAGCATGCCTAATCATTATTAGTTCATAATTTGTTGATAAACCTTGTTTGCTAAGTGTTTCCTACGAAGTCTTCGCAAAGGTATGCTGTCTTGTTATATTCTTTGGTAGTAAGCTAAATGGTTTGACGATCATTCCCTCGTAATAACTTCATTTCTTCATCGTGATCAGATGCTTGCTATATAACGATGTACATAATTTAGGATGTGGGATACACGTATAAACTTCGTAAAATGAATAAATTCTGAAAAGTAGTGGTTATTCTTTTCTGTTTTACGCTTTTCCACTATAAGCCAATCTATACTTTCATTTCAGATGAATTATTTCTCCTAGTTAATAAACTGTCTTTTGACTTATTTCGATTCTTAACTTTGTAGACTTTATTTCGTGTTACCCCTCCATGGTTTACCAGACGATGCCTTATGTCAGCTTCCAGCACATTTTCACTAAATGGATCTCTACCTCCAGGGAAGTCAGTCACTATGAAACCTGTTAGAAATGAATCAGTTATGAATGTTCCAGCGAATTCGGTGCATTTAGATTTGGAAAATAATTCAGTTGCTTATGTTGCATCTCTTAATCTGCACTCAAAATTAAGGCGACCTAGAACTCAGCCAATACCACATATTCATGTAAACAATTGTTCAAATACTGCAAGAGTGTCAAATTCGCCAGCCAATTCAGTTGATTCTAAATCACCAGGTGAACCACTATCATGTGAACGTATTGTGTTATCAGAAAGTATACCACCAATGCCAGTCAGACAAGCAAAGATACGCTATGAAGCCCTGGTAAACATGTGTAACTCTACAAATTGGCCGAATGGCAAGCCTCAAAATAGTCGAGTGAGTATATTTCATTTATCCCGTGAAATGTTTTACAACATAGTTGTCCACTCGGACTGTGCTGAGCAATATTTCTAAGCAGTCATAGCTGAATAAAATTTTAAAAATAAATGTATTTTATAAAATGTAATATAAATAAAAAGATATGAATAACTAGGATAAATAACTAGAAATGTTATGAATGTACTACAACACGTATTTACGTTACGTTCATCATGTGCGTAAGAGATAGGGAAGCATCGAATAGAATGCACCAAGTATCGTACTCATCGTTGCCCACATAGTGACCTAATAGCCGTTTGCTAACTTATTTCTCTCTAATCCATTGTTGAATAACCCTTTGTTTTATCTAATTTTGGTCAAGTAACTTATGCTTGTTATTACAATTATGCTTATTGTTACAAAGACAAGGAAAATAAAAGTGAACGTGTGGTCAAACATATGCGTAACTTTGGAAATCCCTGCAAAAATTGCACACATTTCGTTCAGGAAAATTACATTGGAGACGACTAATCAATGTAAAAGTTTATAGCTGTATTTGGCGATTTCTAAACAGCACTACTTCTGTAACTCAGCATTACACTGTATCTGTAAATGCTCTTGTATTCCTTGTTGAACTGAATTCACTGGAAATATGAAGTCTCATCCATCAACAGTTCAGTTGAATTATATATGTAATGGTTTCTGATCTGAATTCACTTAAAAGATATTTAAATGAATCTTCTTTGAAGAAAGTGGTAATGATGCTGAATAAATGCAGGGTCTTGTGAACGCTTTGAGTAAACATCTGAGTATGTTTTAGCACCTGTCAAATGCAAAATGATGATGCTTCAGAACTGTTCTGCAAATACTCCCAGTTTAAGATTCGGGAGTGAAGTGGTTGAATGTGTTCACAACTCCACTTTAGGAGTTTCATCATCACGAACGGTCTGGTTAATGATGGAATCTCAGCTCAGATACAGAAGGTTCGCCTGGCATTTTCCAACTTGTACCATCTCTGGACCTTCTTTCCTGCATATTTTTCTACAGCTGTTTATTATTTAATTCGTATGTGTCTTTCGTCTTGTTTTTTAACTGTGTGTGAGTCATAGTAATATAAGTCGTTAAGTTGTAATGCCGTATTCCATACATATGTTGACTGGATGTTAAAACAGTGTTAAAGAAACCTCTCTACAATAGATACGAGGGAAACATTTTATTTCATGCGTTGCTTATTTTTTATTGAGTATTGACCGTTTCTCTTTTTTCTTGAAATTTCTAGTCATTACTTTTACGTTTACCCTATCGAATTCACCCCAGTGTTGGTATTTCAATACAGGATCTACGCTTACTGAATCAAAGTAAGTTACGAGGTGTTTTATAACTATAACTAGTAGTACTGAATGTATATATAGTATTAAAAACTCCCAGCTACTGTGTAGAACTAGCGTTTTCTTCACAATGTCCACTATTATATAAATAGACCATTCTAATGAACGGATAATAATCACTAGAATTGAACTTTAATAACTTATTTGTTGTTTTACAGACTTACACCTCTTCGCTTAACTTTATGTATTTAAAGTTTATGTTGGTTTAGAACTTGGTTATCGCCACAACCTGAACAACTTTTTCATATTGGGTAACCATTGGAAACTAATTTATCGTGTCTTCAACTCACCTACACTAATGATTCTGTGTAATACTTGTGAACAAGTTTTCTGGTAATTCATGAAGCTGTATAAGCAACATTTGAATGCGAAGAACAGACTTCATTCACTTAAAGCATAATAATAACATGAAAGAGTGAACTATTTGCGTAGTGTTTTTGGTTTATGCGTGTAGCCCTAGGCATCACAGGTTATTCTTTGCAACAAACTCATCATTTATCGATAAAAAGAATTGTTTATTCCTCTTTTGTCTACCAGTCATTTGATACAAATCATACTTGCTCACAATGATTGCATAAAAACAAGTTATGATGTCAACTACTTTTATTCACTCATGCTTTTTGTGAATTCTACACTACCGGCTTCTAGGACTCATCGTTTACAGACACGCACTAGTGTAGCTTATAACCATCCTTATTAATTAGGCTTACTCCAGTTTTTTTTTCTGAATCTAAACAATCTTTGCATTGATAAAACGTTTGTTTTGAATTGAACCGAAGTTGCCTCATTAATTGCTTTGGTACTACTAATCAGTATACCTAGTCTTGAAATGGATAAAGCAGATGTGTGCTTACGAAAGTTTTTGATGGAAATATATCTCAGTCATCGACTTGTATGGTTGGCCATATTGATTGCTTACTGCGTAGTATAACTACTGAGCAAACTTTATGAATATACCGCTTTTTCGGACTTATGAGAAATGAAATTTTTGAAAATTTAACCAGATTAAAGTATATTAATCTCGGTGACAGCTTTGTATATTCATTATTTATGCGGCCAATTCAGTGATAATCTGGTACTGATGCTTTCTTCCACCATTAATTTATTTTCCTAGTTCTCTATGCTACTGTTCTTGAAATCCGAAAATAGAGAAACTCCTTGAAAGCTACATAATGCATTGTAAGTTAGTGAATAATTTGTATTCAATCCCATTTCTTTAACACTTATACTCTTATCGTTTTTGATTTTGAATTGTCGGATTTAGTCAGTTATAAGCATGATATTTGTTCACAGCGGGGCTGATACAAATGTCCAGTTATAACTAACAGTAGAAGCAATCTGTGCGGACAGTATTGGTTTGTTTTATGGGCGAGAAAATTGTCGTAAGGAAATTATGCATTACAAACTGCATCAGTCCCAGCCAGTTAATCCCTTATTTTTTGAACATAGCTTACTCTTAGCTACCATCATTCTTCCTCTTTTTGCAGTAATGTTTGTTGGCTTCACCCCCATGTATACAATCTCAGCTAAGTGTTGCCAAAATTATACCACTCACTGACGTTCATCTACATTTCCTCATTCCAGGTGTCTCACGGAGCTTGAATACTAAAACCTCACTGTTTAAATATGTATAGTATGAAACTGAACTAAACAACGTGAAATTGGTTACTCTCCCGTAAACAACCAATGTATCTAATGCAGTCCTACATGAGATCAATTGCGGCCCGAATAGTTCACTGGGGACATCTCTGACTGCAGCACTAGGTGACGCGGGGCCGAATCCCACAGGAGACACCCAGTTCTCTTCAGGTTGCAGAGATACACTTTGTTAACGAGTGCCAAAAACAAAACCTAAGTCCCGGACTTCCTATAGGTTACTTCTGGCTAACTAACACGCCAGAGTTATATTAATATATATAGTTATCAGATCAGACTTGGCGCTTAATTTATCCCAAGAAATCCGTAACAATTTCGAGTAAATTGGTCAAGGTATTCGATTGAAGATCGTTAGTCCATAGGTTCAGAAACATTTTACAAAATGTGATCTTTGAATCTAGATATTCAGGTCCCAAAGAATGATTATGAGGCTGTAGCATGATAATTATTTAGTGTTCTCCAAGTTTTGAGGCTTCTGTGTGAAGCGAATGCTGATATGGAGTTACCTAACCTGGTGATGCAGCATCCAAGAACAAACATTAAAAACTCAGGGAACCAAACAATTATCATCCTCATCCTAAGCTACACATCTCTACTAATTCAAGAGACTTAAGGGTATTTAAGGAATCTGTGTATGATTTCTCAGTTTCATTCTTCTGTTCATGATCACTATGGCCGATGTGCTTAAAGCTGGTATAGGAAAAAATCATAAACTTTTTAATGTTAGAAGTAGTGATCACGATGACACTGAAAGTACAAACCAATATCCTAATTTGGTGCATTAGGAACTTTCTCATACTGTTTGGGTGGCTATTCTACTGAGACCTACACATAATACTGTTAACTAAACTATCCTATCCTAGTGTTTTTCATCTTGACAACATGTCTTCAACATAACATGATAAATTTTCTATTGTCAAACTGGATGAAACAGTTATTCTATAATTTGTCAATATATTTCAGTTACTAATACTAATAACATCGCTAACTGGGTTAAAACCGTTGAAGCTCCACGGTATCCTGATTCTCAGAAGATAAAGGTCACATCATGCCAAGATCAAAGTCATCATCACCTTCTACAGACATCGATGCAAACACAATGCGTTTAAAGTCTTTCATTTGCCTTCTCGTTTTTCATCATGCTTCCAACTTATTTTGCGAATACTGTTGCTTATCCAAACTAAATATATTTCCTTTCAATGCTTGGTGTGAATCTCATGTTAACATCAATATAGAATGCCAACTAGTTAACAGTGAATATTTGCCATAATATGCATTTTTCTATCAACTTATTTTATTTTTGTTTGTACTTATTTTCTTTGGCTCTCTGGCTTTCTTTTAAGTTGTGCAATAGCTACATCACAATTAACAAGCATCAACGTATGCGTAAATGTTATTATTTGTAACTTTTTTCATCTAACCAGCAATTTTTGTTTGAAGTCTTACTCTCATTGTTTTTTCCAATGCCCAGTAAGTTATCATGTTATATTTGTGTATTGTTCGATTCAAATTTCACCATGATTTCTTTAGCTACCGTTCCGTTTACTAGCTTTTGTTTCATCAGCAGCTACGTAAAGTCTACTCTGCTTTTTAATTATTACATACTCAATACAGAACAGCTAATGAGGTGTTCATCATTTTATTTTTGTGTTCACAATACTCTTGAGTAATAAAATAATGACTGTAACCATTACAATTACTAGTTGTTCTTTTCTGCTTTGGTGGTTTCCATATTTCGTGTGTTTTCCATCCTAACTGGGTGCTTATTATTCCTGCGGTGTTAACTAATGTTAATGATGAAAATTTCCTTTGGTGCATTCACTTACCAGTCTATCTGATTGTACAAAGTAAGCATTATGACGGTCACTTTTACTGTCCTCAGAAATCTTTTCTCACAGATTTTGTCTCAGAGATTATTATAAAAAGCAACATAAACAGGGAGAGATAGACTAGTATATTAGGTGTAGAGCAATAAGGGCTGCTTGACTGTAGCGAACGTTTTTTGAAATTAATGTTTACGTTTTTCGGTGTTATCCAGCTTTATATATTCGGATATCCGTTGCACACTCAAACAGTCAACTGCTTAACCTTATTTTGGGGGAATTTATCAGTAAAGTAAATGCTCTTGTCCTTAGATTTTGAAGTTTATTGCATTTGGATGCTTATTCTACGTAATGTTATGAAGTTCTCACGTTCAAACTTTGATAAACTCTATATTTTCTCCTTCTACAGACCACGTTTTATTCAGACACAAATCGAAACCTGACGTGAATGATTTTGCATCCAGATTGATAAACTTCACAACAGAGAAAAAGATAGTGGAATAAATTTAATCTTAGTGAAACATGATAAGTTATTAAACAAAGGGATTAAGCAGATTTGGTGGTAACATTCTTGGTATTTATAAATGGTCCATCAGAATCTCCAACTATATATTTGTCAGTTAAGTGGAGTGGTCAGTCTGGAAGCAACAATTGCATTGTAAAGGTGAGCAGTGCGTCTCAAAGGTTGATATTCAAAGTGGTTTGAAGGCTTTTGTTTGGCAAAATCCTCACGAAAAAATGTTTGCATATGCTAAGCCGGTTAATGAATCTCTGATTAGGACTTCAGTCCCTTCCCAATAAACAAAAGGGAACACTTCTTAACACAATTACCTCTGTACACTATGGTTCACATTGGTTAATATGATACTACTTGACTATCATCTCTACAGAAGTACGTGGAGTGAAGAACGGAGCAGACGTACTTTTCTTAAAAGAGGCTGCTACAAAAAATTTTGATCAGCAAAACTAAGTGTCACTTCTAGGTCAACAAACATTTCTAGCTTTGGGTTCGGCAAATGTAACTATGTTATAGTATCTGGACAACGGTAAAGATCAGATGAACAGACTTGTGATATTGCATTAACCTGGTTGTTGCAGGTTATCATTCCCAAGATTTAGTTAGGCTTGAATGGTTACGGAACTTACCACCGTAGGAAATATGCTGATCAAGCCATTCTCAAGTCTGTAGCTCAGACTTTAGAGAGCGATTGCCCTCATTAAAAATTTTAGGTACATAACTGAAAGCACTGTCTTCACGTTTTGCTTGGAATAGTGATGATCATAGACCGTAACCTTCATCGACTGAGATGGTTGGGACACGTACTACGTATGCCTAGTCACCGATTGCCTCGTCACACAATGTTGGCTGAGGTGGGTTCAGGCTGGAAAAAGGCCCGAGGTGGCCAGACTAAAACATGGCACCAATGTATGAAGTCTCTGACTGTTGGTTTAAGCCATGTAGGACGATACAGACTAGGTGGTTGGGGTCCACGGGACAAGAGGAACCAGTGGTTGGAGACCCTAGGTGATATGGCTCAGAACCGAAGTCAGTGGCGCAGATGTATACACACATTATCCTCATCTTAACAACGCTATACCGAATCTCACTATTTTGTCACTCCTCTTTCCTTTCTTCTCGTACTTTATATTTCTTTTGACTGCATTCACTTATCTTCATCCTTCACCTCACTACCTTTTTACTTGGTGTGCTGATATGAGGTGTGGCGACTCGGACCGTTACGCAGTAATGCCTGGTCCTATGTTGATAATGATGATGATGATGATGTAACAGTTACGCATTGTGGTAAATAAGAGAACTGGTGTTTTTTTTGCAGATAACTTATTAGATTTAATAGTTAAGGAGAATAAAACTGAAGTATTACTTCATATCTGCATGTAAGTCTTACGAAAACTAGCAAAATCGATCTTATTCTCATGACTGGTACACACACACATACACACACACTGAAGCGAAGTAAGAATGCTTCATTGTCATCATTATCAACATAGGACCAGGCATTACTGCGTAACGGTCCGAGTTGCCACACCTCATATCAGCACACCAAGTAAAAAGGTAGTGAGGTGAAGGATGAAGATAAGTGAATGCAGTCAAGAGAAAAATAAAGTACGAGAAGAAAGGAAAGAGGAGTGACAAAATAGTGAGATTCGGTATAGCGTTGTTAAGATGAGGATAATGTGTGTATACATCTGCGCCACTGACTCCGGTTCTGAGCCATATCACCTAGGGTCTCCAACCACTGGTTCCTCTTGTCCCGTGGACCCCAACCACCTAGTCTGTATCGTCCTACATGGCTTAAACCAACAGTCAGAGACTTCATACATTGGTGCCATGTTTTAGTCTGGCCACCTCGGGCCTTTTTCCAGCCTGAACCCACCTCAGCCAACATTGTGTGACGAGGCAATCGGTGACTAGGCATACGTAGTACGTGTCCCAACCATCTCAGTCGATGAAGGTTCACAACCTCGTCAACTGACTTACCTCTTCTCCCTAAAACTCTACACCTAACTTCTGCATTACTCACATGGTGACACCACGGAATACGTCCTATACTACGAAGGCAACGGTGGTCAAACACCTGTAACCTTCTCATGTCTTCCACTTTCAATGGCCATGTTTCACAGCCATACAGTAGAACAGAGCGGACTGCTGTGCAGTACACGCGACCCTTAATAGACAAACGAATATCACGGCGGCGCAAATTGGCAAAAGCCAATCGAGCCTTTTGTATCCGTGCAGAAATCTCATCGGCAACTAACCCACCGGGTTGATCCTACTTCCCAGGTAAGTGAAGTGGTCAACACACTCAACCACTTCACTCTCTATTGTTAACCGCGGTACCGCTGAAGACCAGTCCTGGAGCAAAAATTTGCATTTGGGTGGTGAAAATCGCATCCCAAACATTCTCAAATTCCCACTCAAAGTGTTCAGAAGACTCTGCATCTTGTCAGCGTCTTCACCTAACAGGACTATGTCATCTGCATATTCTAGATCTAAGGAAAATTCACCTGTGATCCGGTCAACGTCTTTGTAATTAGGTGACGAGAGGGAAACCTCCATAAGAATATCTATGATAAAATTAAATAAGAATGGGGATAGTGGGCATCCTTGACGGACACCACTTGATGAGTATAGCTCCCTGGACAACTCACCATAGGCTCTAACATGCCCACAAGTGTTCGAGTAGAGAGCTTTCAATAACGTGATGTACTTACTAGGCACGCCTTTCAGTGACAGACATTGGCGTATAAAGAAGGTCTTTTTGATTATTTTCTGTCCACTAAATGTGAACTGTATGAGGGTTGGTCGTCCTCAGCAAAATTCACTTCTTATCGATTATTCGTGTAACCAGTATTTAACATAGTGTTTGAATTTAGATTTCTATAAAGTAAACACGAACGGTATTCTTACTGTCGAAAGTTCATTATGTCAACACTACCTCGCATGTAAATTTGCTGCTTGTCAATGATCACCTGCCATCATTTTAATGTAATCTGTTAGGGAATAGGATTATTTCAGGTTGGTATTCATCATGAACTGACATCAGTTGGAGAATCTTTGGAAACATTAGATAGCTGTTTCGTTCTTGTATGGCGCTCCTCACTAGTACGCACCCAGGATTTACAGCTTCTGTGGCTAACACGTTACTGTTCAGCCACTGGGTCGGAATCCAATTGTCCATATTTCCTACTTCTGTCACTTCACGATATACTGCGACTTCCTTCTAATGCCGTCGTTCAATAACTCATGCTCAGTGATAACGTAATAGAGGCGGAACCTGAAGGCCCTTGTAGGATCATGGGTGGGCACTGTTGAGGAGTGCCATACAAGAACGAAACAGCTGTCTAATGCTCCCAGGTTTCCAAAGATTCTTCAACTAATGTCAATCCGTGGCAAGTACCAACCTGAGATCAATAAATAAATCCTCACAAATCTCAAAGTTGAATACAATTATTTCCCAGAAAAGCTAATGCACGTTAAGTGACATTGTTTTTTCGTTAATTATTTTGCTTTGCTTTCGTAATTAACTTTATTCGACTGCATTATCATCATTATTGTTCGGTTCATCAATTTTATCATTCTAAATCACCTAACTGGCTATTTTTATAATTTCTTGTAATGGACATTGAAAATGCCATGTATTTCTTCTGTTGAATACACGTTCCGATCATCGGTCTTGTATATTAGTCGTGGTGGTTGGGTTGGGGAACTACCTGGCATATTCGATAATCGTACCATAATAACATAGTGTCCACTTCTTAACATATGTCACTGGACGGCTAGCGATATAACCGTTGGGTGTAGATCATGTTACTGTAATGTCCAAAGCGGGTTTCTAGCTTAGAAGTGCCTAGTATAATCAGCACAGGCAGCTGTTTATTCTAATAGTTTGCCTAAAATTTCGCTATTTAGAAAAATCTTAGACACTGGTAGACAGTTTTTAAACACTCCAAAGTAGCACTGGTGTCAGCTGAAGCCAGCGATAAAAGCATAGAGAGAAGTGACTAATCCAGAATTCTGTTAAGTGCGAAACAGTATCAAGATTGCAATACAACCAAGTTAGTTTTGGAATTACACTATGTTTACCTAGGGCACACTTTGATTGAACAGAAAGTTTCACAGAACAGTTACCTATGAGAATATATATATATATATATATATATATATATATATATATATTATATATATATATATATATATATATCTTCATCAGACCCAGTTGTGTCTAGTAATCGGAATGAGGCCAACTTTTATTGAACCAAATGATGATATCATTTAGGAAATTGATCTCAGAGCAATGTAAAATAAATGAAATCTTTAAGAAAGCACCAATGCAGACAGCTTATATTAA